TTGATGAGTCTTCCTCCAATCCTGATGCCATGTACTTATTTATATGATCCAGCTTTAAGTATTATTTGTTTAGTAAAAAGTTTTGAATAAGTATGATGAAAAGATACAATCCTGGTACACACCTTTCCTGATTTTAACCTATTCAATATCCCCTTGTTCCATTCAAGGACTGCCTCTTGGTTTATGTACAGGTTCCTCATGAGCACAACAAAGTGTTCTGGAAGCCCAGTTCTTTGAAACGTTACACATAGTTTGTTAAGATCCACAGAGGTGAATGACTTTGCATCGTCAATAAAGCACACGCAAACATTTTCCATCTGACGTCAGCAATGAAATACCTAGTCCCTGTGTCCTCTTCTTTTTGGCACGGTGACTGTACTGCTTCCAGCTCCTTTTCATGTTCCCGGTGTCATTCAAAATGTTGTCCATAGAATCCTTCAATATTGGAACTTGAGGTTTGAATTTTTTTTCTGAGCTTGAGGAATGCTAAATGTGTTCTTCCCTTTTGGTTTAATGACTATAGGTCTTTGTACATTTCATTGAAATACTAACCTTTTTTTCCATCTGTCCTCTGAGAATTTCCATTCATCTCTGTTACGTCATTCCTTCTTATTGTTTCAGCTTGTCTACACTCAAGAGAAAGTTTCAGAGTTTCTTCGGACATCCATTTTGGTCTTTTGTTTCTCTGTTATAATGACGTTTGTTTCTCTGTTATAATGACGTTTGTTTCTCTGTTATAATGACGTTTGTTTCTCTGTTATAATGACGTTTATTTTTCTGTTATAATGACATTTTGCTTTCTTCCTGTATGGTGCTTTTTTTTTTTTTTCATGTTTTATTGTGAATTATATGGTATTTTACATGGGAGAACTTTAGTTTTACATTCATTCCACCGTACATCGTTTCATTGCCATGGTTCCAATCCCTTCCATGCATCATCAACCGACCAAAGGGTATACCCTATAAACCCGCCCCCTACACTCCCCTCCCCCCAATTCTTCAGGACCCAGTCCCTCTCCCTCTCTGGATCCAAAGTCCCCATCCGCTTCATCACTCCACGTCATCATCATCTCTGCCTCCATCTTGGAACTCGCTGCTTCTCTGGGTAGGGTCCCGCTCTCGGCTCTTCTCCGTTGATGGTCCCAGAGACCTCTGCTCCTAGACTAGAGAGTTAATAACTCCCTTCCTTGCTACCAAACGTCTACCTTTACATTTCCAACCCTCACAATCAGTCCTGATAACAATCATTCACTATTGTATCACAAGTGACCCTTCTGCTTTTCATTTCATCAGCTCTGCCTAGACAGATTGGATAGTACTCACTAGAGATTCTGCCTTCCTCCATGCCCCCTAGCTTGTAAGCCAGTCACTTCTTGCCTTTGTGTCCTCTCCCCCCCCCCCCCAATTTGGGTATCCAATGTCCAAGTTGCCCATCTCTGTCTACTCTTTGTGTGGAGGGGGTAGGACTGTTTCTTGCTGTGAGGGTTTGTTCCCTCTTTTGGGTTACTGCATCCATAGGTGTAGATCAAGTTCATCAAATTGTCTCAGATCACTCTTCCCCCCCTCCCCCCCTTCTTTCTTCTCCTGGTTGAGTTCTGATCATCCATTTATCGGGGCCAGGTCATGTGGGTACCAACTGCAGGTGTGGGTGTTCTTGTGCGTATGCCCTCTCTTCCTATCAGCTGGTAGCTTCACTCTTCCCTCTAGTCCTCTGTGGCCATGCCGCTGACTCTGGGCACACTTCTGGCCAACCACTGTATGGTGCTATTGAGGTCATGCCCTAACTCTGCTGGTCTTCAGTCATTAACATCTAATGCGTCAAATTCAGGTGGAATATGTTCCAGGTCGTATTTTGGTTCTTGTGGACTTGTTTTCATTGTGTTCAGCCTCAGTGTGAACTTGCATATGAACAATTGAGGGTCTGTTCTACAGCCAACCCCTGGCTGTTTTTTGGTGGTGATGTTGAGCTTCTCCATCATCTCTTGCTACAGATGTTTTGTATTTTAGATACAAATTAATGATAGCTACTGGTGTGGCATTGTGGGCTAATGCATGGGACTGCAAAGTCGTTTGAACTGCAAGGTCGGTGGTTCAAGCTCACCAGCTGCTCCTTGGAAACCCTATACAGGGTCGCTATGGGTCAGAATTGACTCAACAGCACTTCACAACAACAACTATATTACTAAACTATGACTATCAATCTCTCTCAAAAATTTTGGGGAGTAAAAGATTTCAACTTAGTTTCTGGTAGGCTTTGACACTGTTTTACCAATTAAATATACAGACTAAATTATCTATTTTTATAGAGAAACAAAAAAGCTATTTTCTAACAGATCTTTTCTTCAAAGCAATCTGTAGAATGTAGACTATAGTATAACGTGGTTCCTATATATTTAAAGCTACTGAGGGCAACTCAGTATTACTAATAATATCTCTGTAGCCTAAACTCTAAAGTCAGAATCCTCCTTAGAAGCAGTGGCTTTGTCCTTGGAAAAGCATATCATGCTTCCTAAAGTTGAGGATCAGAGAAAAAGAGAGAGACCCCTAGCAAGATAGACTGGCACAGTGGCTGCAACCATGGGACCAAACAACACAACAACTGTGAGGCTGGCTCAGGATGGGGTAGCGTTTTGTTCTTTTATGCATGGGCTCCTGTGAGTTGCAGTCTACTTGACGGCAGAGTTTTTCTTATAAAATAGTCTCTAGATGTTTCTAAGTTCACATGAGAGGAATGAACAATGAATGACTGGGAGAAGTCTCCATTGCATGGTAAGGGAAGTGAAGCTTTCTTGTTGTGCTTCGGAGCCATTAAGTGAGCTCTGCCTCATGTCTTCCTCTCGGGTGCCGGGCCATCCTCACAGTCACTGCCATGTTGGAGGCCAGTGTTACAGTCACTGTGTCAGCCTCTTGTTCACTAACACTCTGCTTTACCAAGGATCAGGCCCTTGTCCAGGGACGGGTCCCTCCTGACAACACGTCCAAAGGACCAGGGACACTACGGAGCGCAGCCCTGCTCTGAAACAAGTGTGGTGGCCAAGAGTGGCCTCGCGTTCATGGCAATATCTCATTGATTTGGTTTAGTGTTTCTAACTTACAGCAATCAACAATTTACCAGAGCAACACATTTCAAAAGTTCTGCACAGTCTTTTTTTAATTAGGATTAAAGACTTTCCTTATTCATGTGGATGGAGGGAATCACACGCTGTGGACTATGGCAAATTTTATAACAGATACCTCCCCCCGCCCACTGCGCTCAAATCAATGAAAATGAACATAATAGAACAAACAAATAATTAAAAGAGTGAAAGTGGTTCATAACAAAACATATGAACAGCCTTTCTTATTACGGGCATTTCCTGAGTATATATGATTTATAAAATTCTGATATGATCAGCCAAAGTAAACGGGTCAGAGCATTTAAATATGAGTAGACAGAGGATTCCTGGGAAGACTTCTTGGTAGACACCAGTCTCAAGTAGCATCATGTTTATTAAATTACAACTATATTCTGACGTGTCCATCTTCTTTTGTGTCCTAATGTGGTGCTGTGTTAATGCGATGGAATGCACGGTCGGTTTGAACCACAAGGTTAGTGGTTCAAGCTCACCAACCACTTCTTGGAAACCCTATACATGGTCACGATGAGTCAGAACTGACTTGAAGGCACTTAACAACAAGAACAACAGGGAACTTAGGGTAGAGCTCTAGTATAGTGTAATACTTCATGGTAGCTTTAGAACAGGGCCCATTTTGAAATTTCATTTGCAAACCTTGAGCAGACTGGGAATTCCACTCAGCAGATTGTACCGGATTTATTTATTCTGATGAAAAGACTGGAGCAGAATAGGATAAAAATAGAAAATGTCACCTACAAGGGTATTAATAACCAATTTGTTTCAGTTACATGAGACTAAACAAGAAGTATTGTTAGAAAATCACAGAAACCTGTATTAACAAGAAGATCACAGTGTGAAGCTGTTGGTTCTCCATACATCCTTCATCAAGGCCTGTCCATCCCTCTAGCCCTGTCCTGAAAAATTCTACGCTCTGTCGTTGACACCGGCATCCTCACGGAACTGAAATTATATTCCTTTGATATATTCTTTGAGTTTGGGAAACAAAATGAAGTCTGGAGGGGCGAGCTCAGTGCTAGAGGGTGGATGCGGTCAGATTTCCTAGTGGAATTCTCTCTCCTAAGACGGCTCTTACTACCCTGGGAGAGTGAGCAGCTACGGTATCAGTATCGTGATGGAAGAAACTTCCTTGACACAAATTTCTGGGTCTGTTTCTAAAACCTTCTTCCTAATAAGCCCTCATCATCACCCTGCATCCTTCGAGAAAACAAAAACAAAAAACACAGTCTCCACAGCCTTGTGAGCTGACAGCCCTGTCTTGAAGTGAACTGGCCCAGCAGATCCGCAGGGACACCACTGCTTGATCTGGACCTTTTCTTGGAAGGCGTCCTAATGAGGCTGAGACAAGTGTATTTCTGAAAGAAGTTATCTGCAGTCACCACTATGTGCAGAGACCGGTTTGAACATTCTTTGTTTGGAGTTAATCTGTGTGTGTGTATGAACTGGAACCCTAGTGGCAATCCTTTGCAATTTACCCTCACACACACACAAGTGATGGATGTGTATATTCATACCCTGTGTGTATGTGTATACACACAAAGCCACACATACAATACAGAGGTTTCTCGTGGTGAGTCCTGCTCACCAAAGTTTGAAAGGCACTGAAGAAGACACTGCTTTTGTAGGAGAGGGTTACTGGATACTAAGTGAGCTAGTAGGGTCCCCACCCAGTCCATCTCCTGTGAGAAACACTGGCTTGATAAAGACCGTTCTGTAAACGGGGCAGGGAATAAGGTGAAACAAAATTGTTCTGATTTAGGGCACGGCAAATTTCAGAGACTGGTGGAATATAAGAAGAATCCTCCCCCACAATGAGTCAGCCCCGTCATAGGAAAGTGTTCTTAGGTAAGAAACCCACGTACTAACCGTAGTCTACGGCAGCCTTGAGTAGAGCCTCGGCATGAGTGGAGCCAAACGCGTTTCTGACAAACCGCCTCCTCCGACGCAGGTCATCTTCCCAGTAATCCAGGCGCCAGAAGTCATGCAATTGGCTGAGCACAGGGCAAGAAAGGCAAAGCAGTCAGTGTTCAGCACGCTAGTGACCGGAAGCATACTTCTCAACAAAACAATTCAAGTGCAATGTCTTCGGTTTCGTTGTTCAGGAAAGACTCTTTTTGAGCGATTTCTATTTTATGCTTGCGCTAGTACTCAGGGGTTTCCTGTATCAGTGGACACAACTTGAAAGAAGTAACATGCTGATACTGTCGTCATTAGAACATTCAGCTCTGCTACCTTTTCAGTTTCCTTCCGTCTACTCAGCACATAAATCATCGGGAGTTTAGGAACGAACGCAGGATCAAATTACAAGTATTAATGGCCCAGTTTGCTTTCTTTTACACTGTTTTTAACCAGGATTGTAAATCACAGGAAAGAGGTCACTACAAATAGTTTGCAATTTAATGACCACACTCTCTTAGTAGATGGAATTAAGAAGTATAAAATATTGCCCACTCGAATTTGGCGGAACTATGATTAAAATAATGTGTTGAAATATTCATTGAAATAATTCCCCCCTGCCCTCAGCAACCTGAGAGAAGTGCAATTTTATCCATTATTAATAATACTGAATTAGAGCTGCAAAACATTCCAGCATGTGGTAATTGTCTTGGTAAATTATTATCTGAACACTGAACGAGTCCTTGGGTGATTTTACAGCTTTCAGCTAATATAAAGCCTTAACAGTCACAACCAGCATTGGGGAAAATGTCTTATTTTTTCACATTTAACTAATATTAAAAATACACAGGGTATTTCAGAAGCCACTGAAACATGTTCACTGTACATTCCATTGCATGTACTATGATATCATTTTTGTTATCAATATATTTTCAACAAACATTGCTGATAAATGACACTGAATTCAACTCTGATTTTCTGTTTCTTTATGCTCAGAAGAGAATAATAGCTTGTTTTCCTGAGCAGCACTGTTCATAAAAAACAGACAAGCTTTCACTGATGCTTTTGCGGCTTTTTGATTTGGATTTTGTGTGT